CCGCCTCAACCTGAACCTTAAAGGGCAATTTCGTCATAAAAAAATATATGAAACGTACGGTACCGCCATTAACATGCTAATAAAAGCTGCGTCTATGGCAGAAAGGAAGAGAACCGTAAGATCTCAAATTCCCAAAATTCAATTAGTGGTTTCCGTTTCATCTCTCTTCCTCTCTCCTCCCTCTCCTTAATCCCCTAATCTTCTTCCTCCAAAGAGAATTTCAGTTCAATTTCGAGTTTCCATCTCTCTTTCTCTGTTTCTCTCTTCCGTTTCTCCGGCTTCAATGGCGTCTGATAGCTTCACCGACAAGAACGCGGTTTTCAGGAGGTTGAAGACCAAGCCTGAGAACAAGGTGAGTGACTTGATCTTGACATTTTGGGGGTTTTCGGATCGGAGTTGAGTTGGTTTTTGTTTTTTTTTTTTTTGTTCAGATCTGTTTCGATTGTAATGCGAAGAACCCTACTTGGGCGTCGGTTACGTTTGGGATCTTCCTTTGCATTGATTGCTCCGCCGTTCATCGGAGCCTTGGCGTTCATATAAGCTTCGTCAGGTTTTGTTCAATCTTTCTAAACCTTCGTTTTCGTTCATCCGCATTATTGTTCCATGGATCTTGATTTTTGTTCCTCCTCCTAATTTGGGGATTAGGTCAACCCTCAAATGGCTGGTTTTACGATTTTCATATCCGATCTATGAACTATGTTCTAATAGATTCTTGAATTTTCAAATTTGTGGGTTGAAATTATGAGTAGATACGGAAAGATCGTTGGACCTAGTAATTTTTGTTCTCGGTGATGGTATCATACTGAATTAAAAGATGAAAATAAAATATAAACCAAAATGGAACGAATATGGAAATTCAAACATAAGTCAAATTTTCAAACTCTTGTCTGACTTTTGATTAGTAAGAATTCAATGAGTTAAACCAAAGAGAGAAAACACAGTAATTGATGAACCACATTGTTAAATAGGTCAACGAATTTGGACTCATGGTCAACGGAGCAGCTGAAAATGATGAGCTACGGCGGAAACAACCGTGCTCAGGTGTTCTTCAAGCAGCACGGCTGGAGTGACGGTGGCAAAATTGAAGCCAAATACACTTCCAGAGCTGCAGAATTGTACAAACAAACCCTTTCTAAAGAGATTGCTAAAACCATGGCTGAAGAACCCACCCTCCCATCGTCCACTGTTTCATCTCTCTCCAATGGCAATGGCAATGGCAATAGCAATAGCAATAGCAATGGCCTCTCCTTCATCAAAACAACTAAACAAGAAGCCCCTGAAGTCGTCCATTCTTCTCCAAAAGCCTCTCATTCTGTTGTTATAAAAAAACCCCTCGGTGCCAAAAAGACGGGCAAGACTGGTGGACTTGGCGCTCGGAAGCTTACCTCTAAGGTTACGGTTACTCTGTCTCGAAATGAATTGAATTCCCTCTGTTTTTTGGGGTTGTTGGGTTTGATTTTTTTTTTATTTTTATTTTTTTTAAATGATTGTATTGTGAATGCAGCCAACTGAGAATTTGTATGATCAGAAACCGGAAGACCCCCCGACACCAGTTTCGTCGTCAGTGACGAATGGTACAACGGTCTCGTCTTCGGTTTCTCGATTCGATTATGTTGAGAATTCACAATCTTCTGAGGTGAACTCTAATGGGTCCCCTGTGTTGGGGCATGTTGCTCCACCAAAAGCCTCCAGCTTCTTTTCTGAATTTGGAATGGACCCTCACAATGGTGGTGGTAATTCAAAGAAAACAAGCTCAAATTCCACCAAAATCCAGGTTAAAACACACCACAATGCCTTCAAACTTGTGCCGAACAGGAACGAATGCTCATCGATGTGTACGAATTTGCAGGTGGAGGAAACTGAAGAAGCGAGGAAGAAGTTCTCAAATGCAAAATCCATTTCGTCAGCTCAATTCTTTGGCGATCAGAACAAATCTGCTGAGTCCGATGCCAAGGCTTCGTTGAAGAAGTTTTCAGTACGAAGTTTTTGTTGTCGTTGTTGTTGTGTTTGATTTGGTTCTAAATTGTTGAGTTGAATGAACTGAATGGGATTTTTGTTCGTGGAATCTAGAGTTCATCAGCGATCTCGAGTGCTGATCTGTTCGGGCAGGGCATGGATGATTCGACTCTGGATCTTGCTGCAAACGAGTTCATCAGCCGGATTTCTTTACAGGTATACGATCTAGAATCGATTAAGAAGGATGTTAAAAGGGTTGGTGTGTGAGCTGTTTTTGAATCTGATGCAGGCTTCGCAGGATATATCTTCGTTGAAGAACATGGCGGGGGAGACAGGGAGGAAGCTGAGCTCCTTGGCATCAACGTTGATTACTGATATTCAAGACAGGATTCTTTGATTTCAAACTCCACGGACATATGGGGACTGCAAATTACTACACTATTATTCTCAGAAGAACTTTGTTTTTTTTTTTTCTTTTGCAAATTACCAATTATATATATTTTTTTTTCCACTTAGTGTTTTTTCATTTTTATTTTTTTTAGTTCAACCATATTTGGAGTCGTGGATTTGTACTACCCATCCTTTGATTGATGACATATGCCTAAACCAGCGGAACTATGTACTTTTTGCTTAGTAAAGAATTGTGCATTACAAATTATTGTTGAACATTAATAAACTTGTTTCTTACTTGTAAAGCTTCCTCACTCTTTCAAAATATAACATCCTCTCTCAATCGTACTTTTTTTTGGACATCCCTCAATAATTAATTGTTGAGGATTATTGGGAGTGAGTCTCACATTGGTTAATTCAGTGGAAGATCCTCGATTTATAAGTGAGGAATACTATCTTTATTGGTACGAGGCCTTTTGGGGAAACGCAAAGCAAAGCCATAAGGAGATCTCTAATTCCTAACAATGGTATTAGAGCCATGTCAGTAGAATCTTCAAATATCGAACAAAATTGTGTACCTCGAAGGTGTAGTCAAAAGTGACTAAAGTGTCGAACAAAGGGTATACTTTGTTTCGAGGGGTTCAGAGAAAGGAGTCGAATCTCGATTAAGGGAAGACTTGTATTATTAAGTTTTTTATTCCAAATCAAAGTAAAGTTTAATAGTTCCTACAAATTGTCTTGTAATCTCTTTTTAATTGGACTTAATAAAGGTGTGAGTGTTTATCACAAAAGAGTTGAGTTCATCAATTGATACTAGATCAAGGTTGGTATAGGTTGTCCGATCTTTTGATTTCTTAGTATGTTTTGTGGTTACAGTTTTGTCTAATCTTTTACCTTAGAAACGAATTCTTGAGATTATTTGTGAGTTAGTTTTTTCGTGTTGTGAATAGTCTATGGGTCTGCACTTTCAACACAATGGGTGATCTTCAAGTCGTTAGAGGAATCAAGAAACTCAACAACAATAACTATAACACGTGGGCAATATGCATGATGTCCTATCTACAAGGACAATAACCTTTGGGAGGCCGTTGAAAGAAGCAAACATACGCCTCTAAAGGAGGATGCTAATAGTGCTCTGTGCAAGTGGAGAATTAAAGCAGGAAAGACAATGTTTGTCTTGAAGACCACAATCAATGAAGAGATGTTGGAGCACATTCGGGATGACAAAACATCGAAAGAGTATGAGACATATTTATGGCACTTTTCTCAAAGAAAAACGATACGAGGTTATAACTTTTAGAGTACAAGCTCTTATCAACCTTACAATGCGACATGACGATTGCTTAGTAATTCCCTAGGGTCAAGTTGATTTTTCGGAAGATTATTGAACTAGATCCAAAATTTGTCATCTGAGAAGTTTGAATGAAGATGATAATCATCAATGGATTGCGACCAGAATGTAGAAACTTCGATTTTGTTGTACAAGGATGACCCGCTCAATCATTATGGCGATGGTGGGAGAGCATATCGATTATGAGAATGATTAGAACATTGATTTAGAATTCTCAAACCAAATGACGGATGATCAGATAAAACTGCGAGACAAGAACTAATCAATATCAAGGATTTAGGATGCTCAACCAACAAAAAGTAGTTACTGATTGCTCAGATCGACAACATAACGACATAATGTCTATCATGTACCGGGTATAAAGAACTTGTTGTTAGTGTCACAACTAACAACATCATGCAACTATGTCTTGTTTGGGTTGAAAAATATAAAAGCATGTTAAGATATTGGGAAAGCCAACGATGGAAGGGCGAAGAATGGAGTCCATCTAAATGCTATTTACAGAGTCTCCCTATGTAGACAAGACTCAAAAGATAGTAGATATATGACATGTAAAATTGGGACATGTTGACTATCACACGTTGAAGGTCAGTATGGAAAAATCCATGCTTAAATGCTTACCTCTAACTTGAAATCAAAACATATTTTATTTGCACTAGATGTCAGTGTCGTAAAGCTCATCAATTACCATACAAAGTCAAATTTCAGAGCAAAGAGACCATTAAAACTAATTCACTCTAATTTGTTCGATCTAGTCAAGCAAACATCAATCAGTGGAATGCAGTACATATCAACGTTCATTGACGACTACTTGAGATATGTGTTAAAGAAAACTCTGACACATTCATAAATTTCAAGAATTTAAAATGACGATCGAAGGAGAAGTAGGATCGTTGCCTATGCTTAGACAATGGTATAAAATACACGAAAGATAAGTTCGATCAATATTTACACAAGTACAGAATACGTCATCAGTTAACATGTGCCAACACGCCACAACAAAATAGTGTAATAGAAAAAAAAAAACAGACATTTTGGAGAGATTTGTTGAAGCATACTACGTGTGAAGAATGTTCTAAGAAAATTTTGGGCTGAAGCTATGCAAACAGCTAGCCATACGATCAACAAGCTTCCTCACCCCAGCCAAGATTAAGTTTCATCTCACCATTTGATATATTATGAGTTCATGTGCATGTACCTGAACCGTGTGTATATATTAGAAATAGCGCCTAAGGACATTCTTGAATCGGTTTGAAATTCTACTGCTATGCTTATAGGTAACTGTTAAATCACACGTTAAAAGTAAGATTAAAAAAAGCTCTTATTTATTTATTCCAAGAGAAAGTACAACAAGAGCTCACATTTGAACATCCCAATATGGTAACCATTCCCCATCTTTGTTATTTATTTTATTTTGAACATGGATGCTCCTTTTTATTCCTTCATGATATTATTTACTATATGTTCATATGGTAGTGCTGAAAACGTGTTTCTCATGGTGCATACCCACTGTGGCCATCGCCGTGTTCGCCGTACTCCTCATGCTTACCTCCGCCATATCCCCCATAGTTTCTTCCATCGTATCCGTCGTGTTTATATTTATCATATTCCTCATGCTTATCTCCACCGTATCCCCCATAGTTTCTTCCATCGTATCCTTCGTGTTTATATTTGTCGTATTCCTCGTGTTTACTTCCACCGTATTCCTCATGTTTATATCCGCCATATCCCCCATAGTTTCCTCCACCGTATCCTCCATAGTTTCTTCCGTCGTATCCCTCGTGTTTATCTTTGCCGTATTCCTCGTGCTTACCTCCACCATATCCCCCATAGTTTCCTCCATGATATCCCTCGTATTTACCTCCGTCGTATCTCCCATAGTTTCCACCATAATATCCCTCGTGTTTTCCTCCATCATATCCATATCGATTCCCATAATTTTCAACACCATATCCTTCATCAGAACTTGTCAAACTTCTGGCTGCAGAACAAATTCCTATAACAAATAAAAGAAAGAACACAAGAGAAGAAAGTTTATGGGAAGCCATTTGCAAGTGCATGTGAATGATTGAAGTGGGTAAATAGGTATATATAAGGAGAGCATGGGGCCTAAATACCACTACCTCACTCAATACACGCAAAAGGCAGAAAATGGGTTTGGTCCAAAATCTACGTTTAGGGCTACCAATCTTATACACATGATTTTGCACCTCACCTTCTCCGTAGCTCTCAATGTGATATTCTAAGTTATATGAACAATACCAAATTTCTCTTCTAAACCATTTTCTTCAAATCGAAGCATAATTTAGTCATTCAAATCTGCATGCATCTACCCATTTGCTTCATATTTGTGATTTTTATTTCTATTTACCAATTATAGTTAATCAATCATCCCAAGTTATATTCGTATGTATATATCAATGTCTAATTTAACATTGATATGTCAATGTCTATGATATGTCTTTTAAAACACTCATCATCCTTTAAACTCGATCTTGTGTGTTAATTCTAAGCAGGTTGTTAACGTCTAACTTGGATCATGCTTATGCTTGAGATGATGTTGGATTGATATATTTTTTCTACTAAGAAAGTGATACTTGTGGGGATCACTAAGATAAGCTAGCATGCGAGCCTATTGTACACTATGGGGCTAGAATGTATATGATTAGAACATAGAATGAACAATTTGGATAATTACGACACGTACATGATAAATACATGATAAAATTACGAAATTGTCTTTAAAACAAGGGAATTGAGAAACATGCTTAATTTAATGTCTTCTGCTGTGGTATGATGGAGGAAGGGATATTTTGATTTGTACTCTGAGCGATTGATGGATGTTATCTCTCCGTTCAGCTTGTTTGATTGTTTGATTGTTTGTATGATTTATGTTAAGGTTTTTATGCATTAAGGCTTGGTAGGAATACCTTCTTAAATAATATATGTGAACAAATAGACATGATTCATGAGTTAGAAACGGTTGATAGAAATATTTTTCTAGTAGAGCATGCATCAAGATCACAGTCAAGAATAGGGTGCTATACATAGTGTAGTTTATATGTAGAATTGACGTTTATACCTATATGTATCCCGGGATTGGCTAAGTTGAGAAGCTAACCTAGAATGACTTGGAATTGAGAAAATGGGAATTAAACTACATAAATGCCCATAAGAACCTAATAGACCTCCACGGTGTATTAACATGATTTAAGTAGCCTTACAGGATCACGAAATTAGTTGAACTACTATTGAGTGTAGAATCGGAACATGGTCGACGCTCTAATCCCATTAAATTAGTTCTTGAGAAGGACTAGGGACTACATGAGTAGTTAGCTCAAGACCTGAACGCTTATTGAGTGTAGAAATAGGTGAACCTGTAATTCAGTCCTTGTTGGGCTAAGGACTACATGGGTAGGTGTCAAGATGAGAGCCCCTATCGAGAGTAGAAATGAGTGAAGGTCGATGATGCAACTTCGTAAACTGCTATTGGAAGAGATCAGAGACTATGCAGGTAGGTGGTTTAGCATGAACAACTTCTATTGAGTGTAGAAACAGTCCAGGCTGACGCCGAGACACTATAAACCAGTCTCTATGAGGGGCTAGGGACAACACAGGTAGATGAACAATGAGGAACCAATTGGAACATCGTTTAGACTAAGGGATTGCTGTGGAAACCTACTAGGAGAAGGAAGCGATGAGAGTTACAAATAGGTTACTTACTGAGTATATTCTTTTTTCAGGTAACGTTCGAGGTGGGGAGATGCTCAGGAGCTACTTTGTAATAGAGGGGTGTCGACACGGGGAGTCAGTCAGTTGTATTCATTTTTAGTTGATTTTATATTCTTTTCCAATTTTCCAACATTGTGGGACTTTCCTAAGTATTTTTCTCTTCCACGTTTTTTTGAAATTCTATCTTTAAAACTCAATAAAATTTCGAAAGTTTGACCCCAATATTAAATATCAGATATCTAATACTTCATCGGAACTTGGGTGTTACAGATTCTACTCCTCTTAAAAACTGTCATCCTCGAAAGTTGCTTACCTTGGAACATTGGGGTTGGGTGTCCTTCATGTCCATTTTTCCATTCTAATATACTACGTGGTCGTTACTGAACATCAAGGCTTGGTTACATTCATGTGGGTGTTAGGAGGTTTAATCCTAACAAGCATATTCATGAATCCTTCCTATCATACATGAAATTCGATACCACCAGAATCTATCAACGTGAATGCTTAAACAGATAAGGCAAGAAGAGTACCTGCCAATGCCACATCAGTCTGTCCTCATCTCTTCAGTACTGACAAATTCGGGAGTAAATCTTGCCACCTTATTGAGTTCTAGGTCATATTCTTCCACTGATCTGTGTCCCTGTTTCAAGAATGTTGTTTCAAGAATGTTGTCTGACAAGTGATCCTAGTGACAATGGGATAATACTTTGAAGATAGGTCTCCTTGGACTGACACTGTTAAAATAAAACTCACTAATTTGTGAAGTAATCTCACATACACTAACGATAGAACGCTCCGATACCGTTTTGTGAAACTACTCCTTGCATATTTGTGAAGGAGATGTCGAGAGAGGAGAGACAAGGAGACAGAGAACCGTGATTTTATCAAAAACCTTTTCTATTGCTATGTATTTCTTTGTTTTTTGTTTTTTTCTTTTACTTTACAGGGAAAAGATCACGTATTTATACCATTTCTAACACTAATAGGACGAGAGAAACACTCATAAACGACTGCCATTATTTCCTAAAAAAAATTCTGGGCCTTTTCTTTCCGGTGGCTTTTTCAAATTAACTTTCCTAACAAATTAATTGCATTTTGCTTTTTAAGTTTATTTCAACAAAAACTCCCCCAAACTTAAATGATACATTCAACGATTACACCTAGGCCGTTTTCGTTTTCTCGAGCTCAGTCGTGCTTTCTTCAATTTCCTCTCCTTGTCCTGGAGCAGCAAACTAAACTTGTCCTTTTCTGACGAGACTTCACTTGGAGCTTCTCGAGAACAACCCATTTGAGACACCAACTCCTCATTTCTCCCGTTCTCAGTCACGCTCGACTCAGACGTCATAGCTGTTTACTGAGTTCCCTTCGCAAGTCCACAACGACATTTTCCACTTCCATTTTTGCCTCCTCCATTTCGGCTTTATCACGAGTGATTATCTCAATCGTGTGTCGTAAATTCACCACCTCCTGTTGGACCCGATTCAGTTTCACGTCTAGTGAGTCGCTCTATTGAGTTAGTATCTGTATATCTTTCTCCTCCCTCACTAGCTCTTCCAATAGACCATGAATCTCCATTAACAAGTCATTATCTTTCTCCAAACCTTCTTCAATTTTCTTCACGAGCTCAAAGATTACCTTTCCATTCTCTTCCTTCTTCTGTTTGAGATAGAAAGAACTCTCACTCAGCTCAGCTCAGCTACTTCCTTCTCTAACTTTTCAATCTCCATTTCTAAATCTTTTTTTTCTTCCTCCATTTTCTCTTCCACTCATCATCTTTCTTCTTTCTTCCTCAAAGTCCCTTTCCCGCCATTGGAGCTCTCTCTCATCGAGCTCAAGCTCTCTATTATCCGATTGTTCATCCTTCTTCGATTTTCTTGTCTCCGATATCGTGATTTCGCCAAATCCGCTGCGTATCACTTCATTTCCAACAGTTTCCACCGCCTCATGACTACTGCCATTGTCTTTCTCGCTGCCGTATTCTTTTGTTTTCATCACTTCATTTTGGACCATCAAGAGAATGCCTCCGTTTGTTACGTCATCCAAAGCTAGGTTGATCGTTTCTTCCACCTTTTTCTCGGCTCGACAATCTCTTGTAAAATGTCCCACTCTACCACAATTGTAACATTTGTTGGAGTTACAATCATTCGTATAGTGACCATATTTTTACATTTATAGCACTGAATGTTGGAATAATATACTTGACTACGTCCTCTTCCATGCCAATTGCTTGGCTCGACTGTCTCTTCTCCTTATAATGTTCTTCATAACTGCTGCCTTAACCACCTCGACCATTTTCACGACTTCCACGACCTCTACCTTGAATATTTTGAGAGTAGAGTACCTTTTCATCTTTTATTGATGCCTTGGTTTGAAGTGCTTGATCGAGTATTTTCTCCTTCTTCTTACGTTGCTCGTGTGCCTCAAGAGAACCGGCGAGCTCATCGACCATGAATATAGCTAGGTCTTTTGACTCTTCTATCGCACATACAATATTCTCAAAGTTGTTGGTTAATGACCTTAAGATCTTCTCCACAACACGGGTCTCGGGTAACATTTCTTTGTTTCGATTTAGTTGGTTTAACACAGTCTGTACGCGCGTAAATGTAGTCAGATACATTTTCTGACTCCTTCATCTTCATGCCCTCCAACTAGCCACGAAGAGTTTGGAGATGCACTTGCTTGACTCGGTCATTTCCTTTGAACACCTTTTTTAAAGTGTCCCACGCTTCTTTTCCACACTTCTTTTGAAGTAACTGCCCTAGCAATCTTCTCAAAGCCCGACTCGTAAACGGCTCGAAACAGCATGTATAATGCCGTCTTATTCTTTGATCGAATTCTTTTAACCCCTTGTTTTGTGCCGCCATATAACCTGTGGTATCCTTTGGTTCTTCAAAACCTTCTTCGACCACCTCCCATGTGTCTTAAGAACCGAGAAGAGCTTTCATTTGGATGCTCCAATTCTCGTAGTTCGTCTTCGTTAATCACTGTAGCGGCATTTGACCCATCATATTCGCCATCAACTCTAATACCAATTTGTTAAAATAAAACTCACTAATTTGTTAAGTAATCTCACACACACTAATGATAGAACGCTCCGATACCGCTTTGTGAAAATACTACTCGTGTATTTGTAAAGGAGATGTCGAGGGAGGAGAGACAAGGAGACAAAGAACAATGATTTTATCAAAAACCTTTCTTTTGCTTTGCATTTCTTTGCTCGCTATTTTTTTTTTTTTTTTTTTTGGCTTACTTTACAGCAAAAGGATGAGGTATTTATACCTTTTCTAAAACTAATAATAGGATGAAAGAAACCCTCATAAACCCTACCATCATTCCCTCCTAAAAAAGGTTTGGGCCTTTTATTTCACGTGCTTTTTCAAATTAACTAGTGCATTTGACATTTTAAGTTTATTTCAACACTAACATGACCCACATTTTAAGTTTATTTCAATAATAACATGACCCACATTTTAAGTTTATTTCAATAATAATATGACCCTATCTAGGACTGAGTATCTTATGGATGTTCTGTTAGGATCACACAACAACACACACTCGATCTAGATAAATAAAAAAGAGAAAATGCAAGGAAGAATTCAGGTAGTATAGTAATAGGTAATACAGAGAATAAAGTACATTTGTAAAGTTTTGGCTGGGGATAAATATATATATATATTGCTTAGTGTATATAACTATATATAGCTATTACAATTTATTTTATATGTCATTTGCATGTATAGGTTTAAATGTGTATAAACTGTTTTTTTTAAGATATAAATAGACTCCATAACCTACAATTCTTCTACTTGGAGACTGATCCAGTCAATTAAGAATTTCATTCTCAAACGACTATGAGCATCGCACCATACCAATTGAGACTTTGCACAACCTCAATATTCCAACATCAACACATTTTGTCAACATATTTGCTAGATTCTTTGCACCCTCTATCTTCTCCAAACACATCACCATCTTCCACTAACTTGCAAGTGAAATGGTGTCGCCTTCCGTGTTTTGTTTTTAAATGATAGATCGAATTTCTCACCAACTGTATGACACACTGACTATCTCTATAATGCATATCGTCTCCTTTCTAGCTTTAGCTATTGCCACATATTCAGCCTCAGTACAATGCATTTTTGAAGCCTATACATCTCATCATCCATGGCTTGATCCCACTTGGTTGTATCTACCAACTGTCGGACCTCATCAAAGAACTCTGGTTCCCCTTTATCAGCGTCGGCAATAGATAGTTTAATGAAGGACATACATATCTCGTACTCTGATAGTTCTGGATGATCTTCTCAACACCAATTTAGGTGTCACTTGCTCCATCGCTGATTTTGGATGATAAAGTTGTGTGTATAAATTATTTTAGTTTTATTGCGTTTATTAACTTAATGTTAAAATTACTTTGAAAATATTGGAATACATATTAAACATAACTTAGAGTTTAAAGTGTTCATACCAATTTTATTCTCATTCTTCACAAATCGTACAAATCGAGTGCAATAATTGATTTGTTCAAATAAGATTAAAAATAAAAGTCTCTTCTTTATTTATTTAAAGAGAAAGTACAATAAGAGCTCTCATTTGAACTTTGCAATATTGTAACCATTCCCTCATCTTTGTTATATATTTTATTTTAAATACATGAGGGAGAGAATTATTTATATGTGCTCTTTTTTATTTCTTTATGATATTATTAATATATGTATATTGTACCGGTAAAAATGTGTTTCTCAGGGTGCATACTCACTATGGCCATCGCCGTGTTCGCCTCCGCTGTATTTATTGTCTCCGTGACCACCATATGTATTTTCTCCACCGTATGCCTCGTGTTTGTCTCCACCATATCCCTCGTGTTTACCTCTACCGTATCCTCCATAGTTTCCTCTGCCGTATTCCACATGTTTACCTCCGTCGTATTCCTCATGCTTAGCTCCGCCGTATCCTCCATAGTTTCCTCCATCATATCCGTCGTATTTTTCTTTGCCGTATTCCTCTTGTTTGCCTCTGCCGTATTCCTCATGCTTATCTCTGCCGTATCCCCCATAGTTTCCTCTATCGTATTCCTCGTGTTTACCTCTATCGTATTCCTCATGCTTACCTCCGTCGTATCCCCCATAGTTTCCTCTATCGTATTCCTCGTGTTTACCTCTATCGTATTCCTCATGCTTACCTCCACCGTATCCCCCATAGTTTCCTCTATCGTATTCCTCATGTTTACCTCTGTCATATTCCTCGTGCTTACCTCCACCGTATCCCCCATAGTTTCCTCTATCGTATTCCTCGTGTTTACCTCTGTCATATTCCTCGTGTTTACCTTCGCCGTATCCCCCATAGTTTCCTCTATCGTATTCCTCGTGTTTACCTCTGTCATATTCCTCGTGCTTACCTCCGCCGTATCCCCCATAGTTTCCTCCATCGTATCCCTCGTGTTTACCTATGTCGTTTCCCCCATAGTTTTCTCCATAGTATCCTTCGTGTCTACCTCCGCCGTATCCCCCGTAGTTTCCAACATCATATCCCTCGTGCTTACCTCCGCCGTATCCCCCATAGTTTCCTCCATCGTATCTCTCGTGTTTACCTCTGCCGTTTTCCCCATAGTTTCCTCCATAGTATCCTTCGTGTCTACCTCCGCCGTATCCCCCGTAGTTTCCAACATCATATCCCTCGTGTTTTTCTCCGTCATATCCCCCGTACTTTCCTCCATATTCACCATCTTTACCATATCGATTGCCATAATTTTCAACACCATATCCTTCATAAGAACTTGACAAACGTCTGGCTGCAGAACAAATTCCTATTCCGAAGAACAGAAAGAACACAAGAGAAGAAAGTTTATGGGAAGCCATTTGCATATGCATTTGAATGCTTTGAGTGAAGAGGTATATATATATATATATAAGGTGAGCATGGGGCCTAAATACCACTACCTCACTCTCATTCTGTACACGCAAACGGCAGAAAATGGGTTTGGCCCAAAATCTACGTTTAGACCTACCGATCTTATACACATGATTTTGCACCTCACCTTCTCCGTAGCTCTCATTTACTTCATATTACAAAATCACTGTGTTTATTCACTCCCAGCTTTGAATGCAGCTCATGTTCTAAGTTTTATCAACAATGGCAAATTTCTCTTCTAAACCATTTTCTTCAAATGAAAGCATAATTTAGTCATTCAAATCTGCATGCATTTACCCATTTGCTTCATATTTCTTATTTTTATTTCTATTTACCCATTTTAGTTAATCCATCATCCAAGTTATATTCGTATGTATATATCAATGTCTAATTTAACACTTTTTGTGTTGATGTGTCAATGTCTATGCTATGTCTTTTAAAACACTCAATAATCCTATAAACTCAAATCCTTATGTGTTAATTCTAAGATGGTTGTTAATATCTAACTTGGATCATGCTTATGCTTGAGATGATGTTGGGTTACTATATTTTTTCTACTAACAAGAAATGATCTCTTGAGACTTGCTTATGCTTTATGTTTAGGTTGTCTAATATTTTGGAATTCTTAATATGCTCTCTGGTTGCAGTTCTGTTCTAATCTTCTACGTTAGAAACAATCTCTTGAGATTATTAGAGAGTGAATTTCTTTGTGTCGTGAGTATTCCGTGACTCTACAAATTTTGTGTCGAAAGAAAGCTTGTTTGGTATTATTGAGGTATAGTGTTTGTATCACTGGTAGATGAACCTGGCTCTAATACCACTTGTAGTTTTTGGTTGCAGCTCTGTTCTAATCTTCTACGTTAGAAACAATCTCTTGAGATTATTAGAGAGTGAATTTCTTTGTGTCGTGAGTATTCCGTGACTCTACAAGTTTTGTGTCGAAAGAAAGCTTGTTTAGTATTATTGAGGTATAGTGTTTGTATCACCGGTAGATGAACCTGGCTCTAATACCACTTGTACTTTTTGACTGAGCAAATCGGAGAAAATTGTTGACGGAGGAACAAAAGCCGAAGAAAAATGTTGGAAAAAGAATGTAACCTAATAACACAAAAGAGAGATAGTATTTCAGATTATGGATTGAAGACCCGATAATTTTATTTCTCATTTAATTGGGATATTTAAATAACAATTATATCCTAAAAATGGAAAGGAGGGACTACTCAATTAGAGTCAATCCACTAGAGGTGACATTCCACCCACTTTAATTGTGTGGCTTTAACAAAAAAAAAAAAAAAAAAAAAAAAAAAAAAAAAAAAAAAAAA